GAGGAACTGATACCAAGGGTTCAAGTAGAAAGCAAATGTTTTGAGAATGATGAAGGTAACAAATGTACAAATGTGCTTGACACAATGGATGGATGGATGTGTGATGGAGCCCCCAATAAAATTATTTTAAAAAACAAAACAAAAAGATAGGCATCAAGAGCGTTTGTCTCAGTGTTGATCTAATTTAACACAGAGGCAAAAGCTTTTTTATTCCACTATGGAAAAAAAAAAATCCTGCTAATAACTATATCCAAAATCCAATGACATGGAATAGATTCCAACTCATAGTGACCGTACTGGACAAAGTAAAACCACCCCATAGGGCTTCTGAGGCAGTAAGTCTTTATGGAAGCAAATTGCATCCTCGTTTTCCTCAGCAACAGCTGGAGATTTCAAATCTCTTACCTTTAGTTGAAAGCCCAACACTTAACCCACAATGCTACAGGGGTCCCTATAGCAAAATTCAAAAACAGGAAGGGTTAAGAAAAATAAAAATAGTCTTATTCCTTCAAGTGCCTCATATGCCTATGAAAGTTAATCATATGATTAAGGAAGACCAAAGAAGAATCATTGCTCTTGTTGACGAAGAATACTGAAAGTACCATGCAATGCCAAAATAACAAGCAAATCTGTGTTAGAAGTACAACCAGAATGCTGCTTAGAAAGGAGGATGGTAAGACTTCGCCTCACCTAATTTGAACATGTTATCAGGAAACACCAATCTCTGAAAAAGGACCCAGAAAGAGCTAAGAACCTCAGTCAGATGAAGTGACAAAGTGGCTGCAACAATGGGCTCAAATATAATAACTGTGAGGATAATGAAGGACTGGGCAGTGTTTCATTCTATTAATATATAGAATCACTGAACCAACTCAGCAGCACTTGACAAGAACAAAAAGCAGTATTTACTAACATTAGCTACCATTTCAGGAACTGTACTGGGAACTCCAAAATCCATTTCCCTTAATTTCTATAATGAAAATTTAATAATAATACTTTTCATAATTCACATAAGTTTGGGCTCCAGCTTACATCTGGAGACCAAGAGCTTAAAAAATGATACATGATGACTTAGCTATGTTGTTTGGGACTAGTAAATATGGGGTTCAATTTCAATCCACATTCTTCTCATTTAAAAGGCTTAACTGCAGAAACTTCACAAAACCATCATGTATTCTCCAAATTTAGCAAAATACTTTGACAAAATTATTTACTTCTTCTAACTTCTTTTCATTCAAAGAAATGGGAGAAAAAAATACATTCTGCTAATCAACCAATAAAGGATATATATGGATATATATTAAATGTTCTTTCACAGAAATTAAGGTACTAAGAGCTAAACCAAAAGAAATGTCCAATAGCATTCCTTCTAATAATCAGCATGACTAACTTCAAAAATAATACATAGATATCCTTTTATTACTCTTCATAAGAGTGTGCAACCATTAAGGAGTAAAAACATTAATTTTTTTCAGGTTAAGATTTCAATTAACAAATCTCAAGTAAAAGGCAAATTTGGGGAATTGCCCATAAAATGCAGTTTCCCAAACTAATTTGACTTGGCAATCAGCTGTCACCAAACCAAATCTGACTCACAGAGATCTTATCTAGAGATTCTGAGGCTATAAATTCTTTTTTCCATTTAATCATTTTATTGGAGGTTTGTACAACTCTTATCACAATCCATACATTGTGTCAAGCACATTCATACATTTGTACATTTGTTGCCCTCATCATTCTGAAAACATTTACTTTCTACTTGAGTCCTTGGTATCAGCTCCTCATTTTTTTCCCCTGCCCTCTCCGCTCCAGAGGCTACAAATTTTAATTTAAGAGCATCGTCACTCATTTTTTCTTCTTTGGAGCTGCTGGTGGTGGTTTGAATCACTGACCTTGAGGTTAGCAGTACAAAGGACACCTTTTACCTCAGCAGTACTTAGAACAAGTGTCCCAAATGCCACATTAAGCAACACTGCTTCAGATAATCCAAAACTGGGTTATTAATATTTAATATATTATTTGAAACCCTGATCATTCTGTCTAGGAAGTGTTGGAGTGCTAAATAAAAGATCAACAGTTCAAACTCCCCAGCTGCTCTGGGGAAGAGATGAGGCTATCTGCTCCAGTAACAATGTATAGACTGGGTAACCCTATCTAGGGTAGCTATGTACTGGGGGGAAGATACTCTGGTGGCATGTCTTGGGATTACTAACCACAAACACCAGAGTTCAAACTCACCAAGCATTCCTCAGAGAAGATGAGTCTTTCTGCTCTGGTAAAGATTTATAGCCTGGGTAACTCTTTACAGAGTGGTTTATGAATCAAATGGACTCAATGGCAGTGGGTGCAATTTTCTTCTGAATTGGTAATTAATGGCACTGTCAGAAACTACTAGTAAAATTCCAGGGAAAAGAAAACTTTTCTCACAGTAAATACCTACTACCTATAAATATACTATGTATACTTTATCAAATCTGGATAATTACTGTTCTATAATTTGGGAGGAGGTTTGTCTATTAATTAAAGCTGGATGGGGCTCCTTCCACTTGATCTTTCTGACATTTCAGAACCTCTAAAAGAATTTTCACAAATATAATACATTTTGGCATAAATCCTCTAGTTTAGATTTTTTACTTCCTAACAAGTCATGTAAAAAGTGATTAGTATTCTCCATCAATACTTTCATAAGCTCCTTTCAGAAAATTCTATCAGAAGTTATACACAATTTTGTGTGCATGTTTTCTCTGATACGAGGCCTCCAGAGGCATCCTTTAAAACACTTCAGTGTATTGGTTTTAAAAATACACAATAACCAAATTCATTTTAGCCAACAGTAAAATTACTTTGGAAAATGCTCTTCAAAACTTAAAATCCCAGTCCACAAATTATAAGAAAAACAACATATTCACAATTGAATAAACTGAGGTTTATACTTCATAACATTTACTACTGAAGCCCTTGCTAAGAACTAAACTCGTAGAATGCAGAATGCAGAATCCACGTAAGAATCTATCTAAAACTCATCTGAACAAAACCCTTGCAGAATACATTCAAGGTCGCTTATAAAGGATAAAAGGAAACGTAGATTCCCACCGTCAATCAATCTCGTACAACAGAAAGCTGCCGAAGTATTTAACAGAGAGCCAGGAGAGGGTGCTGCGAATGCCGGAGGACCGCATAGGATTGGAAATGTGCTAGTGGGCGTCACTAGAAGGAGAAAATAAGCCTTTTCAGTGAATCCAACAACTTCCAGGGACTTGAGGCTCTCCACGTGAAATCCAGCGTTATTGTCAGCACACAATATCCCTCACCCTTGAGTGGCAGCGAGAAGTGCGAGTTCACCCATTCACTAAAATCATCCAACCCCGCAGAGGCGCAGCAACCCCCCCAGCCTCCCACCCTCCGCCACGCGCAGCTGACACCAGTTCCGAAAGCAGCGCCCGCTCAGTCCCGGCTCGAGAGCATCCCGAGTTCCGCCCCCACCGCCCGGGACCTAGGTGGTACGGTTTCTCTTCCCCCTTCCGAGGACCATCATCCTCGTCGCGGGCGAGAGCAGGCCTGGCGTATTATGCAACTCCGAACATCTCGCCGCCGCCACCGATTTTGGCGCATCGTCCCCTCCTCCACCCGCCCTCGAAAATACGCAGCGCCAGGGCTTCCCGCCCCACACGCTGTGTGGACTCCCACTTGTCACCCCGAGCCCAGAGCTGCCACCGCCTGGGCCCGTAGGACCTTACCGCAGCCAGACGGAGCGCGCAGCGCAGGCGGAAGCGCAAGCTCCAAGCAACAAAAGCAGGCGCTAAAGTACCGACGGCGCCGGAGGCACTGGGCGCGCCGCTGCGGCGGCCATGTTATCGGGGAGGGGTGCAGGGTGCAGGGACTCTCGGGGCGGCGGCAGCACCGGGCGGAAGGAACAATTCCAGCGCGGCGGCGGCGAACAAAGGAAAGCGCACTCGGCGCAAGGAGGCCCAGGAGGCCTTCGCCCCGCGCGGGCGTGACGGCCGGCAGGGGGCGCTGTGAGGGCGCGGCCCAGCCACCGGACAATGCGCCGCCAGAGAGCGGGGCGGACGAAGGCGGGTGGACAGCCGTCAGCGCTCACCTGGCGCGACCAGACGCCGACCTCAACCGAGGCGGCCCTGCGGCCTGCCCTCGCGCGCCTGAGGCCCAGGATCGAATCCGTCACGCGCCTCACGCTCGGGTCCCTCTCGGTAGCAACTCCACTCCCAGGACGCCCCTGCCCCCGCCTGCGGCGGAGAGGCCTCACCTGCCGACCCGCCAGAGGGCTGTCGTCCGCAAACCTTACACGGAGCTCCTGCCGTCCCTCTTCACAAGCTCCCTGCCTGACTCAAACCCGAGCCAGACGGCGCCTCCCCGCCTCCCGGCCTCCACGGCGCACGCGCACTGGGCCCGCCAAACTGCGAGGCCACGCCGCTTCGGCGGCCCTCTCTGAGCCCGGATGAGATGCGCACGCGCTGCCGGGGCGGCCTGGCGGGGGCGGGGCCTAGCAATTGCTCACCTGAAGAGACTGGGAGGGATGTTGCTCTCGCCCGGAATCCGCGAAAACTGTTAGTACGTGATACCGACTGTCGGCCAAATCCTTTACACGTCTGGGTGGCGTTAAGCGTACAGAGCTCCCGGAAACCTTAGCGTGGCTCATATCTGCTGAAAATTAGACAACAAATTCCGGTTTGGTTTTGTATAAGGACCTCCTAACAGGGTGCTCTTTGTCCTTGGATTTTAAGCAGCAAGTCGTTCTGAGTCGTGCGCACCGTAAAGATTTATGGAATTGGATAAAATAGAGCATCCGGGTAAAAGGTGAGTTTTAACGTCAGTTAAATTTTAGTAACGCAGGTTCAGGACTGCAGAACGTAATCTCCTTACAAAAATATATTTGTTTCCTGTGATTCGCTTGAGTACCTTTGTACCCAGGTCATCTCGCAATTACTCTGCCACAGAAAAAGTTTATCTCTAGATATCTCACCATAACTTAAACCCAAAATCCTCACCCACAAAATATCTGATCTTCCTGAGGTTGTGGAGGGAAGAGATAGGAGTTCTGCATTCCAGGAAACCTCATTTTCGGTATCCTCACCACAAAATAACTCCGCTTGCGAGGTGGTGGAGTTAGTTCCAACTCATAGCAACCTTATGCACACCCTAACTAAACATTGCCAAGCCCTGCGTCATCCTCCGAATTATTGTTTGACCCCAATGTTTTAGCCACTGTGCCAATGCTGGGATCCGCATGGTCTCCAGCAGCTTTGCGGGGGAAAAAGACTGGGCTTTCTACAGTTACAGTCTCAGAAATGCAAGAGGTGGCTATGAGCTAGCTTTGTTTCGATGGCAGTAAATTCGGTTTGGGGGTGTCCATTTAATCAAGCATGATGCCCTTTTCTAAGCACTGCTCTCTCCTGAGAACATGTCCAGAGTATGTGAGATGAAGCCTTACCATCCTCAATTATAAGAAGCATTCTGGCAGTATTTCTTCTTAAAGAGCTGTTTGTTCTTTTAGCAGTCCGTGGTACGTTCAATATTCTTCACCAGCACCCATAATCCAGATTCCTAGATTCTTCTTTGGTCTGCCTTATTCAATAATCAACTTTCACATGTATATGAGGTGATTAGGGACACCTTAGTCATCAAAGTGACATCCTTATTCGTCAACACGTTGAAGAAGTCTTATGCAGCAGACTAACTCCAGGCAGTGTGTCCTCTGATTTCTTGATGGCTGCTTCTGTGAGCATTGATTGTGGATCCAAGCAAGATAAAATTCTTGGCAACTTCATTCTCTTCTCTATTTATCATGATGTTACCTGTGGTCCAGTTGTGACGATTTTGGATTTTTGTACATTGAATTGTAATTCCATACTGAATCCTGTGATCTTTGATCTTCATCAGCAAGTGCTTCAAGACCTCACTTTCAACAAACAAGGTTGTGTCATCTGTATATTGCAGTTTTTTAATAAGCCTTCCTCCAATCCTGATGACACATTCTTGCAAGGGGTTAGGAGTCAAAAATTTCCAAGGTTCCTTGTTCATTTCTTTGACTCTCCCTTAAATGAAGATAATATTTGAGTAATTTAATTGTAAACAACAAATAAGCAAAAGGCGGAGAAGAAACATCAAGAACAGTGTTTATAACTTCACAGAGTAGAACTCCGAAGTGGAATCTGGGTCTGAATACCAGCAGGTGTGGCAGCAGCAGAATCCTAAGCCAGAGGGTGAGACAAAGCAGTGGGTTTCCCAACCCATGGAGCAAGTAAAGTTGGGTGCTTTGGGGCAGGAGGCTGGCTTGTGGAGTAGGGTACCTCTGGGCATTTAATTGGGGAGATTTGATATACTCAACCACAGAGCTAGGTCTTCAGGCTGAAGCTTGTGACACAATTATATGCTCTTCAAGTATCAACTGGCTACCTTTAAAAAAAGCTTTCTAACATTGCCGAGCAAGGCAGAGGCCAGCCAAGACTGACAACCAGAAAAAACCCGTCTGTAGGCAGACTGATTTGACTGAACCACTGTATCTTGAGCATTTCTCACCTGAACTGTAACCTGTTCACTTCCCTAATAAACCCTAAAATCATGAGAAGTTGCCCGAGAGTTTTATGTGGTCATTACAATGAATTACAAACCCAACTGAGAAGCAGAGAGTACCTTCCGAGGGGTGACTGGGAGGGATGTCTGACCTCAGCCTCATAGAAATGGGCATTGGGCAACTGATGATGATGATGATGATGATTCTTTCCTTTCTACCTTATAAAGTTTAGTGGTCAGATGCTACCCACACATCATCATATATATGATATACATATTCATATAGGCTCATGTACACTAAAATTCACTGCCAAAGTCAAATCTGCCTCATGGCAATCTGTGGGTTTCCTAAATGGTAACTCTAGTGTCAGTAGAAAGCTTCTTTATACCCATATACATAAGGATGGGTCAAAAGCTTTTCTACTGGGGTTCTAATTCATACACGCATGTTTATTCAAACAAGCTTAAACTTGTCTCTACTATCAGTAGATGACTACAGATATTTTCTCTGTTATACACTTTGGGTGCCTTTTTTAAAAACTCTAAAATACTGATTTCTGAAGGAATCTGCTGGACCAGTTAAATTCAAGGCTGACAGGTCAGCTCTGAAGTTATAGTGACTATTTGGTTTTTTGTGATCCCAAAAGTGTACTCTTGATACATTTTGCTGAAGGATACAGGGAAATTACAGGGATTAGGATTTTTTTTTTAATTGAAAACAATATTAGTAAGCAAAAGACCAGAAAAGTTGCACCAAAGAATTTTTTTGCCATAATGCCCCTGCTCATTCTTTTTTTTCAAGTTTTATTGACTTGTAATTCACATCCCTTACAATTCATTAGCTTCAATATATTAAAAAGAGTTGTGCAATCCTCACAATTCTAGTACATTTTCTTCATTCTTGTGTCCAATATTATCAGCTCCCCATTATACCTAACCTGCCCAGCCATAACCCCAAGAAAATATCAATCAAGTCATTGTCTCCAGATTCACCTACCCTGGATTTCATATAAAGAAAATCTTATGAGGGGGTACCCCCCCTCAAAAAAAAGCTTTCATAGTACAAATTTTTCTAAACGAGTTTCAAGCAACTCACTCTAAGTGCACCGAGTACTGTCACCTGGAAAGGTTCTCTCTAGTCATAGTGAATTTTCTGTAAAAGCAATTTCGCTCAAACCTAATTTTTTGTGATGGCTGATTTAAGAGAACAGCATGCGGCTGTGAAATTTTGTTTCCTGCTTGGGAAAAATGCCACAGAAACTGTTGTGATGTTGAACACAGCTTATAACACTTTGGGAAAAAATCAAGTGTACAAGTGGTTTTCTCATTTCAAAAACGGTGAAATATTGGTTCATGACAAACCTAGTTCTGGACATGCATCAACATCCCTAATGCACGAAAATATCGACTTGTAGTGCATTTGGAGTTTGTTCCACCAGGTCAGACTGTTAATCAAGTTTTCTATTTATAGGCACGCAGCTTTCTCAGTGCGCCCATTTTTTGTCAAAAACCAACATGATTCTCTTGCCCTACACATCTTACTCACCTGACCTCACTCCATGTAACTTCATTTTCCGCAAATGCAGAGGGACATGAAAGGGCAGAGATACAACAATGTAGTGTAGAAGTGAAGAAAAAATCAAGGGAGGTGCTCGTCAGCCATCCAAATAGATGAGTTTGAAAAATATTTCCAAGAATGGAATCACAGATTTGACAAATGTATTCCATGTAATAAAGAGTACTTTGAAGGTGATAAGGTTGTTATGTATATATATATATATATGTTTTTTTTTTTTTTAATCATATATATAGCTTTGGGAAAAAAATCCCTTTTTTCTCCCTTGGGTTCCGCCTCATGACAAGATCACTGAAGTTAGAGATGCTATAACAAATTGTGGTGAAGACCTGATGGTGCCCAGCTATCAGGAAGAATAGTGTATGGGATGTTAAAAGCTTGTTTCAGAACAAGCAGCCGTCCAATCAAAGGGTCAGCTAATTCCACACAGAAGAAGTACACCAGTCTGTGGATCCAAGGATTTTAAATAATGAAAACCAAGACCGAAGGAGAGAAAGGTATTAGAGCTTAAATCTGAGCACCCCATTTGCAGAAAGCTATAGATGACAGTGAAAGTCCCAAATCCATTTGCAGGGTCTCCATGTGGATTAACCCTCTGGTGAATTCCCACTGAACATAGTCCAGAGATGTGACTAGCCTTGCTATCAGACAAAGCATTGGGAAGTGGACTAATGCACATGTAGTTAGGTTAAAATTCACGCCCTATTTGTTCTTCCTTTTGACCCATTTTAAATTTGTTCTAGTTTTTATTATTCTCTGCTTTCTTTTCAATTGAGGTTTTTCTGTTTTACTTTGTTATTGTTGGGTTTGTTTTTTGTTTGTATATGTTTCCCTTTACATAAAACCAAGGATAGGCAAATCTGTAGATAATAACTGGATTAATACTTTGTCAGGGTTATGGCAGGGAGGCGGGATGAGCTAATAATAATTAGTATAAGAAAGGAGAAAATGTTCTGAAATTGATTATGGTGATTATTGCACAGCTCTCTTAAATATGTTTGTCATTGAATTGTGTGATATGTGAATTATAGGACAACAAAGTGGTTGTTTTTTTCCAAAGGAAAAAATTACAAATGAAAACCAACAATGATAAAATAAAACATACAAAAGCGTCAATCCAAGTGAAAGCTGAAGATAATAGAAATTAGAACAAATTTAAAATGGGACAAAAGGGAAAACAAGTGATATGTTAAGTTTTAACCTAACTGTATCTGCAGTAATCCACATTCCAGGGCTCTGTGTCTGAGGGCAAGACGATTCACATCCCTGGTCAGTGGT